GTTGAAATGACAAACAACCAAAACTTCTAAATGAGCACGTCATACATCGCAGAGCTCACTTGTTGTCTTTTTTCTTCCATTAATTGCTCAAGATACTTCACAGCAGCTTTCTGATCTAATAATGGACGACACATAATTGGCAAAGGTTTACGTGGAACGCTTTGCCCTACAAAACCTTCAAGCTTGCAGAGTGAACCAGTCTTCACCTTTACGATATACTGACAAGAAGATGGTTCATCTACGTCAGCAATGTAAGCTTCACCTGTTGAAAGCATTTCATCGCACATATACTGAAACACTTATAATACATTTCTTAGAATATGACCACCATTTCAAACAGGTGTAGGAATCTTTACTATTTCATGGAATTACACATAAGTTATAGTAACTTTGCTTTCGAAATTACAAGTAAAACTTTTTTTAAACGCACTTTTTTCAATTTAAAATTTTCAAAATGTATAAAATTGAAATGAAATAAATTGTACTACACAGTTATTGCAAATAAAATTTTTTTAAAGAAACAGTGCGGCAAAAATGATTTGAGAAATGTAAAAAATTAGTAAATTGCCAGAGTAAGCATGAAAACCAATGTAAAGCTATTTCCTTGAAATGTTAGAAGATATATCGTTAAATGTATACCCAAACTCGTGTACGTCTTGATTTATTAGTTAAATCACATACTGTCCCGTCATCGTAAATTTGTTCAAAATAGGGATGTTCCTCACTTTTGTGTTCGGAGAAATTAATATCAGAATCTTTTTTGTAATATCCCAAATAAATTATGTCCCCAACAGTTTTTGAACCTTAAAAAACGCATAAACAAAATTATTTTCATAGAAACAAAAACTGTAAAATATTCGCCGAAATAGATATTACCTTCAAGACGAAATTGCTGCACATGTTCATTATAACAAAGTTCATAAGTCCACCATCCCATATTCTGGAAAAATACCATCTTGAATTAGAATTTAAAACCATATTAAATATTACATAATTACCGATTTTAGGAAAAAAAAGAATCTACAACCTATATATTCCAAAACATTTACCAATCAGATATTTAATATTTGATCAATGCTTTTATTGCCATTAATTTTCTGGTAGAAAAAATTTAGAATTTCTCTGATGAAACTTTCATGCTTCTTCCTAAGCTTTATATTTCGCATTTTAGAAAACATACAAAGATTTCGCTTAAAGCTGCTGCTTCAAAGAAAAGAGTACTCTGAGGGACAGAGACAGAATATAAATAGTGATAAAATTTTTCATATTAAAATCATATCAGCTAATGTCTTCTAAAACGTTACCCGTCTGATGCAATTTTGTATATAAAAACTAGCTGCTACAACATCGGATATCAAATTAACAGTTAAATTTGATTTCACTGCATCAACATGCTTTTGTAATTGAACCTCAGGCAACGAACAAATAAATTCCTGCCCGAATTCACTAGTAATAATAAAGGAACTTCTGTCATCCACACCAATCTTTTTCTGTAAAACTCTGCATTCATGATCCGATTTTAAATAATTGATAAAATTTGCTAAATAATTACTTACAATTTATAAGTCGAATTTACAAAAAATCTTTGCTTGCATTAATTTCAATGACTATATATCTACTCTGATGCTTAATTTAGCTGCACTAATATCCAACTACTTCGGATTATTAATCATGTTCAATACTATGAAGCAAGAAATGTTTTAATTGCATCACTCATTAACCTTGCCAACAAAACATATTGTCAGAAATCTACTCTGGATTTACATCATTGATAATACCTGCAGTATAAAGTCTGACATTGCTGAATCCATTAATTCATCAGTCAACTTCAAATTTTCAAATCCCAGAGGTATTTCGGCAATTTCGAGATCATATACTACATTTCGCAATTCACCGGTGTCATACGCGGCATAACAGATTGCAATAATTGATGAAAAAATAACAAAACACGCCAGTAGCATTTTGTTATACGACATAACATGTGCTTCAATAACATAAACTACACTTTTTTGCCATAAGTCAGTACTTCGAAAACACCAGTACAAGGTGCAAACGAAAAAAACATCCCCTGCTATCAAATTTTAATTTTCAATAAGATGTCGAAAACCTTAAAATGACAGCCAATTTGAATGAAAAGAGTAGAAAGTCCCAATTTACCTCAGCAGTCAGGGGATTGCATGAGTGGATGACCGTACAACTTTTACAATCTATAGTATCTCTGCACTACGGAATAATCTCATCATGAGTAATCATGAATAAGACTAGAGACGATTACCATATTAAATAAACTTTACTTTCACATACTGTCACCAAAACCAAGATCAATTAATACAAACAGTAGAGAATACAGGCTTCATAAAAATTAACCTGAGAGTAAAAAACTTAACAGCTTGTGTGAAATTCGACTCTACAGAACTTGACTCAATCAAAAGTCCTACCTGACAGATCATAGAATTAAATCATACGTATCGTGATTACATAATTGTATCATAAATATAAACAGAATGTATGCTTCACCTTGAAAGCTAGTAGAGTTACTTTTAATACGTGTTCCAGTGACATACTAAGTGAAAATCACCATCCCAAACAGATACTTCCAAATTTACCTCACAACAGATGTAACAGTAAGGATGTGATTCCAATACATAAATTAAGTTGACGCTAGCAACTTACCATTCTATTAGTTTTTTTGCCAAATTTAACATTACTACATACTGAAGCAAAATAAAAAGAATGATCTGAATTTCGGTAAACCTCTCTAGTAATTATATTCGGATCACGCATCTTTTCACACTTTTGCCCGACAGTTTTGAGAAACAAGCATAATACATACATGCATAAATATTTATGATATGAATATATATTAGTATTCATAGAGTAATAATCATCCACTTCCATTTTATGACCACAAACTACTGACTTCTCAATGATCTTAGCTACTACAAATCAAGTATCAATCCCGACATGATATTAATCAAATGCATGTATACGTCATTATTTTAATATTTTATTAATAATAAAAGGATTATTACTCTCACTTCAACAACATCTATCAAATCGACTCATCAAACTAACAATTCATTCATCGCAAAAAGTACAAATTTTTAGCAACGTATTTAAAACAAATTAGATCGAATCAGTAGTTGTGGACATACTTTTGCTTCACTAACAAAATATTTAAATTATCTTTGGGCCACACACATATCCAATTCTATCATTAAAATATGGAATGCCATAAAAGTAGTACTTCTTACATAGTTTCAAAGTAATTTTTAAGATGTATTAAAGCCTTTCTTCTATGACTCATTGTATTTTTTACAGCATCTCCCATCTCTGCATAGGTTTGTGAAGAACCTACGGGTTGAAAGCACGGATCCCAACCAAAATTTGTTCTTCCTCTTGGTTTCACAATGTGTCCATATGTGCGTCCTGAACAATAAACCTGTCATGAACAGTTGCATAATCACTTACTACAAAATATATCATCTCTCTTTTCATGCCTAATTCTCCGTTTGTTTTCTTACAACTACTTTTGGATATGCATACTATTCAAAATAGAATTTACCTTCAAAGAGAAGCACAGGTTTAAGTGAACTTTCACAGTAAGCAAAAATACACAATGCATATGCACTCTTGTCTTCAAAACCATCTAGCAATTTGCAAAGGCCCTCTGGTTTCAGATTTTTCAAAAACCTGCAAAACAGTTTAGCCACAAGTACACAACTGTTCCAGGTTAAACAAATTCTTCAGTGAATAATAACACGTGCAAACTACCATTTAATATACGGTCCTGGTAGGCCTCCAAAAGCATTAAAGCAAAGACTAGTATCTTCAACCACGACAGGGCGCTGTAATTTTTCAAAGGCGGCCAGACACTTTTGTTTTGCTATTTCCTGTGGACATCCCTGATACTCGAGCAAGTCAATGCTTTCAACATCGACCTGAAACATAGATGAAATATTTCATACAATATAAAAAAGATTTTATGGTGGATAAAAAACTCTTCGCCACAAATATAGAATGAAATTCATCGCCTCTGAAAGAAATAATAGCAAATAGAAGAAAATAACATAATACAAATACGATCTTGAAATTCAACAGTACTTTTGCGAAAAAATGACTATTCAAACAACATATTTACTCATAAAACAACAAGAAACAGAACTAAAACTTCTACAAACATGGATAAAACTTCGTACAAGCAATAACGGCAATCAAATTGAGTATCACAAAAAAAGATCCAATCTTTGACCACATACATGTTATATAAACTGATCAGTTTTTAATATTCCAGTAGTATCAATAACGTTCGAAAATAAATCATCAACTCTACAGTTTTTGCTAAAACTCATACAGCATATCTGGAATAAAAAACAAACATCAAGTACAGAACCTTTAATATCCATAGTCATGATATACACTTAAAGGATGCAAGCAAAACGTGCTTAAAACTTTATTCATATTTAGCCCTGTAGTGCGAATTCTTTTTCATCAAATATTTCCGAGCAGTCGAATAAGGTGTCCGTTCATAATGAAAACGCTTGAAAAATGCTGCACTAGTAGATCTGTCATCATCATACTGTGAATAAAATGTCTGAGCACCTTGTTTTCTTCGCATAGCATTATAATGAATTGCTTCACGATAATTTTCTCCGAAAAATGTAGTTGCACTTCCTGCACTTCTCAATGGTTGGTCAAACATGTTGGCATTAGGATTAGGCTCCCAAACAGGAACTTTCCTCAAATCTTGATTTACTGAATAAGATGCTTTGAAGTGGGATAGTGGATCTGTGTTAGACATGAAATCCGTGCCTTCTAACTGATTCATATCCTCTCCACTTAATAACCTTGATATGGATGTACCGACATATGAATTTGTAGAGCATCCTGAATAATCTCCAGGAGATTTTATAAGGAAATGAGATGATGGTTGATAGTGAAAATGCTTCTCCTCTTCATTTTTATGCTGATCACAAAATAATTCCGATAGTGACAAAGAAGGTACACTTTGGTCACTTTTTGTCCTTTGCGCAATTTTCCAACCCATCTCATTATTGTATAATCTTTCTGCTAAAGAACCATAACGTTTTGGCGCTATATCATGGATTAGTTCTGGTACTGTAACTAACAAGCCCGACTGCTTTGATGCATCTTTCAAACAGTTTGACTTAGTAATCTGCGAACTTCTCTGCTTCGACGAACCACCTAATTCTCCATCGAAATTCAGTTCCATCTTATTTCGCTTATTCCTGAAACCTACCTGTGACATATTTAATCAAAAAATAATGTCATTGTATGACACCAGCAATATGAAAACTATTTCTACCGTGAACTGCTGTCCCAGAATTTCTCGAACTTCTTTGACCTTATTCACGTTACCAGAAACGAATGTAAACTTTTGCATCACCCTCTGAAATGAGAACAAGCATTGTACAGACCATCTACCAGAACATAGATCAAGTACATAACTCTTCTGCATCTCATGAAAATCGATCCTAAGAAGTAATGAACTGGTACTTCATATCCCACGTCTAACAAAAAATTATCCTCACAATATACTTGCTTTCCCCTTTATAATATGAAGACAAAAACACACAACAACCGACCTATGGACTATATTGAGATAACGATACTATATATAACTCTTCCGACTCTTATGATCCCAAAACAGTTACCAATCCTTCGATCAATGATTCGACTAGAGCTATGAAAATTACTACATAAGCACTACAATGACAATAAATTTCGGACAAAAAAACAAATTGTCACAGATCATCACCAGATAGTTAATACTGTGCACTAAAGAACATTTAAAAAGCTAAAACACAGATAAACAATCTTTATTAACAACAAAGAACATCTTTGTGCAGCAATAAATTGGTGAGTAAAATCATGCTTGATACATGTTAATCTACATCTAAGTGTCCTATACGACTTAAATACGAAAACTTGCAGTTTTATAAACATAGAACACTTTATTCTGAATCTTAAATTGGAAAAATTCAGATTATCAGTTACCTAATAAAATTTTAATATCTCGTATTTCATTCCAATCTGATATCAAAAGATTAATTTGTCAACAATTTGAAGACACTGAATTCAGAGAAAAACTGTTATCAGAAAATAATAGTTTCATAAGAAATTAAGGCCAGCACCAAACTGAAACGACGGCGAACATTGATCACCCGACATATACCTTAATGGAAGAGTGTAATTCAATTCAATTCGAATAAAGTTTTTAAACAAAAACGTTAATCCTAATCCAGTGCTCACACGTACTGTATCCAACATATCTCGAAATCGCTGTCGAGAATGAACTGATGCTACAGTTCCTCCAGCAACAAATGCATGGGCATAAATCATCTCTGGTGGAAAAAGAGGTCTAAAATGAAATTTGGTACGTAATTTTATTATCCGAAGATATAAGAATTGCGAGCTTTATACTCTGAAATGGAACGAAAACATCCCTACATATTTTAAAATTGAGATTCTAATACCTACATCTCTGTTTTCTTGCAATACCAATTATAAATGTCTTTGCCAAAAGTACTTTATGTAATTTAATGATGATAAGCAACATTTTATTTGCTATTTAGAATTGAAAATCTGAGTAATATAACAAAATTTGAAGCTAAACAGCAATTAACTGTGACGTTAATAAACTTCTTGCTTTAAATTCGTTTCTTCGAAATTTGTCAGGGAAATAAGAGCGGTATGCGCGAGTGAATAAAATACACTTAAGCAATTCTCATTAAAAAATCTTTAGAAAACAGCCTGAAATACCTATACAAATGTATTACGCCGATAGTAGAGGCTGCTCCTCCAACACAAGACGAACCATCAACTCGATCTCCTATAGTATTCCAACTAAATCCACGTACGTCAAAAGGGCCTCCAGCATATAAACGATCTAATAAATGCAATGAACGATTAGGTAATGAATGTATGATTGAAAATTGACACGATGCGCTTAGTAACAAACCCATCAGTAACTTTGTTGCCGCCTGAAAATAACCACTAACAAATGTTTTAAAGAATTAAGCAAAAGAATTCATGCAATCTGTAATACACAACGAAGAGAACACAATAATATCAGCATTTCTCCAAACTATCCATAAAAGTTAGTTCATTCTTATAAAAAAATCCAATGCATTTAAAATAAGTAAAAATATGGGTAAATTGATAATACTATAAAACTTTTGCTCTAATTAATAAATACAAATTGCAAACTGTGTAAGAATCAAAACATTAGTAAGATCGACATAACTAACTTGAGCAGTAATCTGATACTTCAAAAATGTTGCATCACCAAGAAAGCCAGCATATTCTTGAGTAAACTTCAACAGAACGCCTTTTGTAGAAAGAATAGGTCGATCTCGAGTATCGTAAGCTAATGAGTTCTCTGCTGAACATTTCATCGTATAACCTGCATATTCTCGAACCGCAAATGCTGTTTTTTCTGTCGGACAAAATTTTCGCCAGATCTTAATTTACTACTAATTTACTTACACCAATCAAGAGATACGATACTTATTCAAGAGATGAATTTCTAATAAGAATTCACCACCAGCTATTTTATAGTATTTTTTTGCGGGTCTTATTTAAGAACATTAAGGCAGTAAAAGTTGCAAAGAATTTAATGAATACTTACTACTCACCGTATTTAATTTTATATTATGCTGAATTTTTCTATCCCAGAGCTGGCCATTATACTGCAAAACTAGTCCATTTTCTTTAGTTTCGCTGAGACTCCATGGTAAATTAGTGAAACTTCGATACAAAGAAAATCCCAAATTCGAATATTTCTGCCAGCCAAGAAAAGGCTTAGACATCGAAATATTGAAAGTCTCATCTCTCTGTGATATTGATTTTTGAGAAAATGATGAGGAAAAGTTAGTACAAAAAATGGATCAGCCATTATATTACAGAATGAAATCAAAACACTAAAAACAATAAAATCAACTATCTGAGAATAGAACTGTGCTAAATTGTAAAAAAGCCAAAACCTTGAAAGTGTATGCATAACTTGCATTTAGCGATTCACCACGCCCTCCAAAACTTTCTTTGCTTGCATTCAACGAATAATCAGCATCTCCACGACTTGTCATACCAGCCTTCAAAAAATCATACTATACAGGTCATTCATACACATATAAAGGTTGTAGCGAGGACGAAAATGAAATCAGTACAAACCTTAACACTTAAATTGAACATTTTAGGTTCCTTCACAATAAAATTGATTACATACTTGCCAGATTTTCCATTCACTGAATCAATCAATGGAGTAACACTTTCGAGAAGACCTACTTCCTGCAAAAATGAATGCACTTTAAGTTGAAAACTTGAGGCACAGTATTCCACAATAATATTCTACGTAATTATCTGACCAAATGTTTCCCTTCATTTTCCCCTAATTACCTTTGTTAACAGGATTGTTTGAACACAAAAGAGAACAATAAACATCACAATAATTACTTGAAAATGCCTAGCAGCCAAATTACAACATCGTATTAATTCTGGTAGAGTTGAAACTGAGTAGAGATGTGCAATTTCTTTCAACAATGCATCACGTTTAGTCGCTTTAATTCCATGAAACTGCACAGTTTCAACAACAGCTGGTTGCTTATCACATTTACCATAGAGAACATCTGCCGAATAGTAAGCTTTACTGTCTTTAGTTGACATCTAAAAATAACTTTCATAATTGTGCTTTTGAACAACAAAGATAAAACCATTCTATACGATTAAAAATACGGTTTTGACGAAATTTATAACACCTAACAATTATATTTTTCAAAGCATCCTCGTGTCTTAGCGCAATAATATGGATATATATATATATATATATATATATATATATATATATA